TGTGGGAAGCCAGCCATGGCCCACTGGCTTTTTGAAAGACAACATTTGTTCCTTTTTAAGGACTGCACGTGTTAAACTTGTTTTGACCCTGCACGGGAGAAGCTCGGACAGCCAAAGATCTGTAGGAGTCAGGTGCTTCCTGTTAAAGATGTGATGTTATCTATAGGAGTCAGGTGTTGTAACTCCATTTTGTTAAATTCCTCCACCTATTGTGGGAATCATGATTATTAATTGCAAGTGTTGTTAATTTGTTTTTCTTGAGCCTGCTTTCTCTTGCCCATGTGAACCCTCGTTCCCGTGGAGCGGGTGTTGAGGTTACTATGGTAATCCTAGCCCATAATAGTTCGGCCTTTTCCTTTAAAAGGCTGATGCCTGCTTGCAATAAACGTCGCCTTGATCAGACTCTTGTCTTGGCGTCCTTCCTTTCTCTCTGCCCCATCTCCGCCCCGCTGCTCTTTCAGGTTTGAGGCACTGCGGGACAGTGCTCTGTGTCGCTGGTTCGCGACAAGAATTCATATAATTATAATAATTATTGCTACTTTTCTGGTATACAAAAAGTATTCATATTGTTTGACCATGCAGGTTTTCCAGCATATTGTTTATGAGAATAACCTTTTGGTCCAGGTATTCTCCCTTCTCTTCTGCTCCACCTACTTATGGTTGCAGGTATATTTATAGATCCACTACTATCCCTGAATAGCTTGAATCTAGAGACTGGATTGGGACCCCAACACTGGAGCAGCAGAGAGAATTCCAGGATGTGTCTTGGTGCACAAGCGGAGAATTTATTGTCCAGAACAAGGATTCATTGGAACTGGTTTGGCTATATTTCAGCAACAAATGGACTTATTAAACAAAGAAGTTGAAGGATTGTGGTTGCATACTCGATTGGACTGTGATTCCAGATTTGAACAACTCTGCCTTACTCCCTTTCCTGTCAAAAACCATTCTGAGGAAGTTAGACGACTTTCTTCATTGTTGCGAGGGTCTTGGAATCAGACATTTCTAAATGCAACTAATCAGTTGTCATTGGACATTGAGGTCTTGTCTGGTGTTCATGCCAATTCTATCTGGCTTGATTTAGATTTTGCTACAGAAGTTTGGGAAAATTTGAAAAAGATGTTTTCACCTTCTTGGATTGTTATATGGTTTATTGTTATTGCTGTTATGATTGAGTTGTGTATTTTGGGTTACTGCTCATATCGATGCTGGAAGCGTTCCCAGTTTAAAAATGAGCATTTAGCCATGGCTGTACAGGCTTCTTTGGATGATGATACAACGTGCGTAGCCATTTACTTGGCTCAGGCTCGGGGCTCAGGCTCGGCGTGCTTAGATCCCCCGCCTTGGGATACTCAGTGACGGGTAAGGACAGAAGCTTCTGTCTACCAACCTAAGACAGGTCGTATTGGGACATAAGCCCTGCGACTGATGACGGGTAAGGAGATGGAAGACTTCTGCAGCCTAAGACAGAGGTCCCTTGGCTGATGCATGATGGCCTATTGCTAGCATTCTTCATGCTATCAAAGAGAGATGGGGGAATTATGGCGAGCCATTATGGTGAGCCTTGACACAGGCCTAACCATGATTGAACTTTGAGTCACCTCGCTGGCACGGACGTGCTCTCGCCCATAGCCACGGGCGAGTTCATCTGGTAGCAGATGTAACCCATAATGGTGGTTATTGTTTCCCTCTGGAATGTGTGGGCGGTACCCTCGGTCCCATGCAGCTGGAGAGTATAAAAGGAAGATGTTCTGAAATTGAGCAAGCAAGGAACATGAGAAGAAAAGTGCCTCCCGTCTCTCTGTCCTCATCCTTTCAGGTTTAGGACCTGCTGGCAGGATCCTGACGTCGCGGCTCGCGACACCCGGCCAGCTCTGCAGACATGGATGTGTTCCAGAAAGTAGAGAAGATCGGAGAGGGCACCTATGGGGTGGTGTATAAGGCCAAGAACAAGGACACTGGGCAGCTTGTGGCCCTCAAGAAGATCAGGCTGGATTTGTGAGTAGTGGGATTGTAGATGCCCCTTCAACCCCTGGGTGGACCATGGCCTGACACTCCCCATTGACCCCCTCTCCCTTGCTAGGTGCTGCCTAGGCACTGGGATGGCCCCAGATGTCCCCACATCAGCCCTCTGTCCCCTGAGCAGTCCGTGCACTGGGTGCTGCTCTGTGGAGCATGGTGGGAGAGCATTACGTGCCGAGGAGCACAGGTCCTCTTGGGGGACGGGCCATCCCTGTGGGAATGAGGAACACAGAAGCGGACTTTTTCTTCAGGGAGACTGAGGGGGTCCCCAGCACTGCCATCTGGGAGATATCCCTGCTCAAAGAACTGAAGCACCCCAACATTGCCAGGTGAGCTGCGGAAAGGGGAGGGGAAGCCAGGACTGGGACAGTTAGGTCCCGATTGGCACCTCCTTGCCAGGCTGCTGGACGTGGTGCATAGTGAGAAGAAGCTGCACCTGGTGTTTGAGTTCCTCAGCCAGGACCTGAAAAAGTACATGGACTCCGCCTCGGGCTCGGACCTCCCACTGCACTCTGTCAA